CAATATATAATCATATTTATCAGCTGTTATACCATACTTTTTATTTAATCCTGTCCATGATACCTTTTATAATTACTGCCGGAATGTATTAATCTGGGAGGTACTTATTAGTGTGCATCTGTCTGTTGTGAGTATGGTCCATTCCACATTGGATCAGAAACACTGGATCACCATGCACAAAAGAAAACAAAAGACCAACCAAACAAAATAAAAGGAAAAAAACCCAGAAGTGGTATTGAATGTCATAGAAATCATTGTTATTCTATTCAAAGTAGGGTAGTGGGATACAACTCCTGTTTTGTCATTGGAGGACAGATGCCTTTAAGAGCAGCAGTGTTTACATGAAATGTTTATGAGATAAAGACACTCTTTTTTTGATTGTCACAGGTAATTGATATTAATCAAGTCACCGCAGTTATTTCCACAGTAGGAAACCAGGACATTATATCATGCAAATGTTCATGAGCAACATTAAAAAAAAAAAAACAGATTGGTGGGTTTGTGGTTGTGCCCTTCCTTCATAACTGGGACATAACCAGTGTTAGTAATTCCCTGTCAAGCAAAATAACCAATGCACCAACAACCATACTTTCTTCGTGGGGGATGCTTACATCTCTAAAAAAGCAGTTATAAAAGAATGGTACTTATTGTAAATCTTTATACAATTGACACGTTTTAATATCATCAGTTGCATAATGTGAATAGCAATTTGTTTATGTAAAGTCAGAATAGTTTTATTCCTCTGGAGACCGGAAAGGCATATTCTATAAGTATTCAAACAACCATCAAGAGGAAATAACTGCTGATGTCATTTTTGTATTTCAGATACTTGGCTATAACATTTAGCTCCTTAATCTGGAGAAAAGCCATGCTTGAGGTCCAGCTAAAAGTCTGGTGGGGATGATCTTTGAATGTTGTTTTAGTTAACAGATGTTAAAACCTTACATGTAATGGAAATAAGATTTGTTTGATTTTAGTGGAACCTGCTTCCTTATAAGCATGCTTAGAACTATAGCCCTAATATAATTGTTGGCTTTGATGTATGGATGAAGTATAGGCACTCAAAGCCCTCTTCTCTGAATGGTATTGTTGTGTGGCTCAACTGCATATTTAAAATGATCATGTGAAACTGGTAATCGTGGACTTTCAATGGAAAGTATAGTTGAACCGTGTATTGTGTATACCATATTAATATGAACATCTAGACAGGAATTTAATATGAAATTAGTAGCAAGGTAATTATGAATTTGACGAAAATCATTAAGAGATGGTAAAGAACATCTGAACTTCTGAAACATCCCCTCCCCCATTTTTCACAATTAAAGCTCCAGTTATCATTCAACTACAGTAAGAAACGAAATCAGGTTGGCAAAATGTTTCCCTAAACCAAATAACTAAATTTTCTTTATATTTTTCTGTCCTGACCACTTCTGTTAAATATTCAAGAGACTCTCCAGTTCAGCTTGAAGCAGTTTATTTGGCTGCTACCAAGACAAAGATGGTTGACAAAGATGGCATGATACCTCCAGGTACCCTAGACACATCTAGGAACAAATGTTGTCTGGCCCACAAGTCATCCAGCTACTACCAGTCCTGTCCCATTCCGTGTTGAAAGGTTTTGAGACTGATGAAAACAGATCCCAAACCAGTTTAGGAATTTAACATCAATGTCAGTAGCGTGGCTAGCAGGGCTGTGCAATTTCTGGTTCCAGTGTCTGGCTGATGTTCACCTGGGCTTGGCTTTAAATATATCAGGGAACTACAAAACCTTGACTTATCTGGTTGTTTGACCCTGCAAGTCAGTTTCAGGATGGATCCCAAACTAAAATGAATTGAGATTGGGCCCTTAGCCGGACTTCAGCCTCTATGCCCAGGCACCATCACATTCTACTGTGGTTTGCAATCTGGAATAGCTTTCTAGAAATCTGAGAAATTATTCTGTGTATTCTAGAGTGTTTATGGATTGGGTTCAGTGGAGTCCACCCACCTATACTGGGCAAGAGGTTTGGAAATAGTGCCTAAGCAGCATCTTACTTTCTTCCACTAATTACTATAAAAAAAATCCAGTTTCTCAAAAACAAAGATGGGGGGGGGGGTCCAAAACCTTTGTAGCAGCCCAAAGATGGTGAGTGGGGAAAAAAAAAATCAACCCTCTTAAATAAAAAGTCCAGGTACCAAAGAGCAAAATTTAATGAAAGCCAAAACTGTTAAATATGGATTCTTGTTGAGAAAAAAAATGTCAATGTCTTTATGGTTCTTCCCCACCCTTATTCTATATTTAAGAAAAGTGTAGTAAAAATACATATTACAAGTTAACATTTCTCCTCTTCTGTATAATTTTTCTTTTCCTCCTCCCACCTTTCCATTGATCAAAAACATTTTAAAGATGAGTTTTCATGTCCCATTTTCACAGGCATTTGTCCTATCACAGAAGGCTCCTTCCCATAAACCCATCTAACTGGCTGGCTCAATTGTCAGACAGGTCTCTTTGATTCTTTTGCCACAAAGGCAACAGTTTTTAAAGTTTGATGTAGCTTATTTTTATATTATTATGCACAGAAAGAAATCCCTGTGCCCTGCTCCCATTGCATTTCGAAGTGGAAAATAGGTAGGGGAGCTATGAAAGTTCTTGAAATTGAAAGAAGGATCAGTTCTTCTTGGACACCCAAAAGATTTCTTCATTAAAAGAAGAATTGGTTTCTTGAGCCCTGCACAGTATGAACACATACACAGAACTAAAATCAAAAAGTAATCAAAGGCAGACATTTTTTAAAAAAAAAAATACAGAGAACAACAACTTGAAGAATTATTATCGGAGGCTGAGATCACTGTCTTGACAGATAGCTGGATGAAAGATGAGACAGAAAGGCTTCCGGTGGCACTGAAAGAAAACAAGCAGACACTAGGCATGCTGTGCCCTCTGAAGGGGATCTGTAGTTTCTGTCTTGCCAGTCTTAATTAAGGTGCCATCTTAAGACAAGTGGAAGAAATTGATGGAACAATGAAGAGTTGAATGGTAAAAACAGTTCGTAGAGACCAGTTTTATAGAACAGTAACTCATATATGAAAGATTATTTGTTTTAGAGCCAGCTGCCAGTCCCATTTATAAAGACAGTTCTACCAGGAAGGTTCCCACAACAAAGCCATTTCTATTTGTCGCCTGTGTTGCATTCTTGTCAAATATTTAGCCTCCATTTTAAGTCGAAATCGCCTATTGAGAAATCAGATATAACACATTTCTGTTATACTGCTAGGTCTGCATCGGCACTTGGAGGAAGTTTTAGCCCCTTGAAATTTCTGAAGTTACTATCCAGTGATGAGCAAATGCGTTATGAGGACAAGGATTTCAGGGAAGGGTAGGACCCCCTCCAGACCATGATGGAGTAGAAGACACTCCCATTTAATTTTTCTTCAGGGGAATGTCTTTCATTCTGCCCAAATATTTCACTGTTCATAGTGGTAGTATCACATACACGCATACAAATGAAGCTCTTGTTTAGATGTAGACAACTAACACACACACACACGACTGGGGAAATACTGCTAGCAGGTCCACTCTCTTGTGCTTTATGGATTTCAGTGTTTCATTGCAAGCTTGGGTTCTGGATTACAGACAAAGTTTTTAATAGCAAGCAGGGTACCAGCTGGTCTGTTCTGTGTGTTCCATTTCCCCTCATGATGATGAATGAGATGGAAACCACGTCTGTTGGCTTTTCTGAAAATCATGTCACTGGCAAAGACTTGATTCTTGAAAACGTCGAAAGAAATTGGGATCAGGTGTAATCTAATATTGTGAAAGGCTGAAAAGGTGAATATTGGTGTCATTCAGTGAAATCTTGGGGTATTTTTCATAACAAATCTAATACTCCATGGAATGTCAACTTAAAGCAGATGTGGCACTCAAGGAACAAAAAACCAGACGTTCAAAAAACAGCCCTGATACTTTTAAGTCTGTTTACTCATTTATGGGTACCCATGGAGTGATCTGTAGAATTTTTGCTAGGAAGGTGAAGGATTCTCTACTCAAAGGTCACAATGGCAAGGAAACCATACAGAAGTGCAGGAATGAGGAAATGGCTGACAATTGCCTCTTCAGTTTTAAGGAAGCAGGCAAGGAGGATGATATGTAATATATATGTTTTGCATTTGCATGGTTTTCCCTATATGCAAAAGACAGCCATTGTTTTAGTTGGATGATAGGAGCTTGCCAAGTGCATATTTCGCAGGCTGTCATGCCTGGAACTCACAATATTTTTAACTCAAATAACCACTTCCTAGGTTGGGAATAAGGATCACATTAACTTCTGTTTACCTGGGCTCTTTTTAGTCCAGATACAATCGTTGACCTCCATTTCCAACAAAGTCTTGCTATTCCTTTCTCCATGTTAGGCTTCTCTTTCAACTGTCTTTGAAGTCCTTCAATTGACAATGGAATGGAGAACTCTTTTGACAGCTTTTTTAGCCTTGTAGCAATAATTTTAACACTGTAGACTCCTGTTGTCTCAAAGGAATTTTGTTTTGTTTTCCTTTCACTGTTAGTAGCGCAGACATTTATGGTTTTCATCCCAAACTAAACCTGATTTTAATCTGTTGAGCAGAGCAGGGCTGACATTACCCTGACATCACGGGAATTAGTAAGAAAAATATATATTGCACACACTAAGAACTTATTAACAACCAAGTTAAAAATAAAATGGCGCTGTCTTCCTCAGTGTTCCTGTAACTGTGTATTCAGGGATGTCTCCAAATTCTGTTCAGTCCGGTTGCCCTCTCCTTATTGCAGTACAGGTTGTACTTTCTTCTGCCTGTGGATTTACTGTAAAACAGAAACACACACGCACACACACACACACACAAAGGAAAATAGATCTGATTTCCACTGAAAGATCCACTGAATTGTCCCTCTTCTTGAATGGTTTGATTTGATTTGGTTTGGTTTTGGCACTGGAGAGGCTCAGGCCAGGGAGACCCCGCTCTCACCCAAGATCCATCAAGGGCAATTATAATCCCGTTGCTCCCAGGGACATCCCAGAGCTGTGACCCATGCACGGAATCTCCTGCATGGTTTTAGGGAAATCGTGGCTCACCACCCGTCCGTTTTCTCCACTGCTGGTTCCTGCTGCAGATGCTCGAGGAAGAGTTGATGTCCGTATGGCTTCATTGATAGATTGCTGTGGGATCAAACAAAAACCCTTTTAAGAGAGACAAGGGGGTCTCCCCCTGTCCTTAGCAATGACTGAATATTCATAATATACAATTTTGTAACTTGCCCCTTCATTTAGTATTCTTGGGAACTCCCTCCCCCCAGTCTGCTTGGCACTTAGTATTTTTAATTCAAGAGTCTCAAAATGTCAAGCTGTTGTAAGTTTGGCACCAAAGGAATTTTGCCACCAGCATCAACCGGGTTTACTGTTTTGTCTGTCATGCCTAGGAGGTGTTCCACATAAGCCAGGGCATGTGCAGCCATGTTGGTCCTACAAAAATAGATACATAGAGGACTTAATCTAAACCAAGTTCCATCAAGGCTGAGTTTTGGAACCTTTTTCATGGCAGTCTCTGGGCTAGGAATATGAAAGCAATAATGAAGAATAAATAATGTGCAGAGTAAGTAATCAGACATGAACCAACCACACCTACTGAAGTTTCTAGGTCAAGTTGTAATGTTTCCAGGAATTCTCATCTTACAATTTAAGCACTGCTTCAGTGGGGCCACTATATGTTTAGAAGTGATGTGAGGTTTCAAACCTAACAAGTTATTTTTCAAGCATACAGGTTCAATGCATTTTTTCTAAAAATAATGCATAAGGTAAGAATGTATGCTGTCAAATTTTATATTTACACTTCGAATATCCATGTGTGAAGAACATCTCTTAGGCTTGAAAGACTGCCTGTACTTTAAAGCAACTAATTGGCTCGATACAAATGCTATCCCACTTGTTATAAATTTCATATACTTCTGGCCTTGTGATTTTAAATTTTGCTTCTATGTTTTTAATGTATTTTATCCTGTGTGTTTTATCTATGTTTGTAAGCCACCTTGAGCTCTGTACGAAAGAAATGTTTTAAATAAATAAATAAAATTGTAATGCTAATCAAGTTCTTCCAACCCAGTCATGAGTCCTATGACTTCTTTTGTAGTGAGAAATGGGGTTGTAGTTGAAAATTCAGGGCAATAACTTCAAAGCAGAATTGTTTACAGTGGCAAGGGATATAAAGGTTTTTCAGCAGCACAGTCCCATTCTTGGGTCAATGATTTGTAAACTCAAGGCATACCCAACAATGGTTATTCTCCCCCCCCCCCAGAAAGTACACTTGTACAGTGCATAGATACATAAAGAAACATCAACAGTGCACTCTCCTACCAGTATCCCTTTCTCCCCTACTCAATTACCCCAATTAATTTTAGGGCTAAACTATTTTAAAAAAATTAAATATGGCATTTCAAGGCATTAGGACACTTCAGACATCTTTATTACATGAGGGAACTGTTACGATCTGCTTTTGTGAGCCCCAGGAGTTAACAGAACACTCAGACAGATGCCCAAGAGGCCCAAGTGTGTCGCCAAGACAGGTTGTGGAGTGAACTTGATTTGTAGAAGGCCATTTAGGCATGTTATATCTGAAGGACTGCATATCCTTATGTTTCCTGTGCAACTAGAAATCTGTCACAAGGAAGAAATCAAAGGCATATTCTCTGCTGGGCTTAAGTTACAAGTGTGTTAGATTCTGATTGAACATTAATGGAATCTTCCTCATTGTTGGTCTAACAGTGGCCCAACAATGGAACCAAGTATGTTAGGGTAGAGAAGAAGAAGAAGAGGAGGAGGAGGAGGAGATTGGATTTATACCCCGCCCTTCATTCGGAGTTTCAGAGCAGCTTACAAACTCCTTCCCCTCCCCACAACAGACACTCTGTGAGGTGGGTGGGGCTGAGAGAGCTCTTTCAAGAACTGCCCTTTCAAGGACGGCTCTGACAGAACTATGGCTTGCCCAGGGTCATTCAGCAGATGCAAGTGGAGGAGTAGGGAATCAAACCCGGTTCTCCCAGATTAGAGTCTGTGCACTTAACCACTACACCAAACTGGCTCTCAGTGTAGTGGCTACTCCCCTTGTTAAAGGTTTGGAAGCAGAGGCTGGGCAGTCACTGTTAGGAATGCTATGAGTTTCCTGTATAGGTAGGGGTTTGAAATGTAAGGCCCCTTCCAAATATAACGTCTTTGATTTTCTAGCAGCAGTGCAGCAAAAGGAAAAGAACTTTTACATCCAGATGGCTATGCATGTGGTAATGTTGGGATTACAGTCAGGTGATAGCAAGGTCAATGAAGTGTATCATTCAGAATTTGAATTTCTCCAGCTTTCTTGGATACTTTACAAATGACCTTTTCTCCTGACGATCTGTATTGAGTATGCTCAGCAGCTTCATACAAGGTTGAATTAAAGAACATAGTTTCCCAGGCAACTGATATTCCTATGGAGAACTTGGGTGCCATGTTCAAGCATCTCTGGCATCTCAGTCACTGCAATTGCAGTGTTTAAGGCACCAGATGAGAATGGAAGCCTCACCGAGAAATCTCACATTTTTTGTTTCCAGCACCATTTAATTTCTAAGTTTATGGGCTTGTGGCTTTAAGGGTTTTTAAAAAGAATTTGAGGAACTTGCAGTGGCTAGGAAAACATTTAGGGAGGGTAAACGAGTTTTAAAGTTTTCGGAGTACATTCAGAAATTATAGGCATGGTATGGAAAATATGAGTGGACTCCCATGTTAAATCAGCTAACGAGAATGTCTCCATTACTATTCAATGAGGGTAAATAATCATCATGTTTCTAGAATGACTTACCAGTGTTAATCAAGTAGCTATTTAGTGAGACATGATGAAGTTAGCCTAAGGAAGTGATTTTTAACCCATGGGTCAAGTATTTCAGGTGGGTAAAGACCCACCACATGCTGAAATGTGAGCCCCTATAAAGTTACCATATTTTTGCAACTGGTGGTGCACATGGTTGCTTCCTAGTGTTTGGCTTATGTCTCCTGTTCCCAGTTCTCTGGGTATTAGGGTTGCCAGGTCTGGGTGGGAAAATACCTGGAGACTTTGAGGGTGGATCCGGGAGAGGGTGGGGTTTGGGGAGGGTAGAGACCTCAGTATGCTACAATACCATAGAGTCCAGCCCTCACAGCAGCCATTTTCTCCAGGGGAGCTGATCTCTGTCAGCTGGAGATCAGTTGTAAAAGTGGGAGATCTCCAGAACCCACCTGGTGGCTGGCAACCCTGCTTGGTAAGCACACCATTCTGGTTTTGACACTGGGGAAGCTTTTCCTCTCTCTGTCGTTTGATCCAGTATCTCACACACAATGGCATAGTTTGACTTCCTGTCACATGACTGTGATATAACATGACTACCTATCACATGACTGCCTGTCATGTGCTTTCAACTCAGTGAGTTTCATGCTGCTGCCTGGGAGTTAAAGGTGGGCTCCAGATCTGGAAATGTTAGACTACTGGTCTAGAGCAATCCCATTTTGGCAAGGAAAAGGAAGAAAGTAATGTGGTTGTCTTAAACTAACAGTTCCTAAGCTCCACATCAAAGCAAACTGACTATAATATGGGTCAGGAATGCTGCAATAGGGGCTTAGGAATTCTAGGAATCTGGGTGTTGTCAGAAAGAAGGTGTGAAAGGCCTGTGAATGTGTTGCCACCTTCATCCGTTTTGATTCACTTCTGGACTTGTAACAAAACTCGATTAAGGCAACCAGCATTGCTAGTCCAAGCCCACCGATGAGGATGTAGAAAACACCGGCCACATTGCTGAGGCTCAAAGCACTTGTTTTGTCCTATAAGAGAAATGAAAGGGAGAGGGGAGGGGAAGGAACAATCTGTTAATGAAGTATTATATTTTAGAAACAAGACACAAGAGTTTAATACAGTACAATACACTGGAAAGCCACCACTTTCAAAGACACATAAAACATTTCCATTTCCTTTCATTACGGTTGAACATTCTCCCCCACTGTACACACAAAATGACTAAACATTTCAAGGGATTTGCAACTCTTTGGGAAATGTTTTTAATCATCACCCTTAAGAACTTATTTGTCCCAAACGTCTGGGAAGTTTGATGGTTCCAGGTGGTTTGAGTTATTGATAAAAATGTTATTTGCTTTGAGCTGACATTTGCTAGTCTCCAATCTTTTCCCCTTTCTCCTAAAATAACTTGGAAACGCCTGTTCTTTTCTTCCCTGATTGTTTCCCCCGCAACTTCTGTTGCTGAGCAACATATTAAAAGGCTTATTTCTCCTAACACGCCCTTCCTTCTTTGTACAATACTCAGGTTGCAGTGACATTAAAAAGGTTTTGTCCTTAGATATGCCTTTGGTGTATTTAATAAAGTAGTTATTTTGTATCTAGGTTCTGGAGATGTGTTTTAAATTTATTATATGATTGTTAATTAGGGGGATTAAGTACCAATTAATCATACTTAGCACTTGATTTTAATTGCAAATGGATTTTATAAAAATCCCTAGAATTAAACCAAGCATGGAAAATAGGTAGGTATAATTGATGCCCATTTTGCAGAGGAAGAAACTGAATGTTTATAAGAGATGTGCAGGAAACAAGTCTTGTCTGTAATCTGACCAATATTCTGGCGCTGTCCGATTTCAATCTATTCATCAAATGAACCAAATACTCAGTTTCAAATTTAAACTTGGGAAATATTGTTTCAATTCCAGAATCTATCTTGTCCACCTGTCTCAGAAAAGATTGAATTAGCTTTGTAGGGACTGAATGAATGGTCACATAAGAAGTGTTTATATAGATCAGATCCCATCATTTTACACTTTCAAATTACGCCTACAAGGAACCCCGTGCCCTAAGGGGAAAGGATTCATATGTGTGTGCATGTCCAAATACCCAGATATCCCAAGCCATTCCTGGCTTCTTAGCAACCTGGTTCTGAGATTTCCTTATATTGTATGTTAGGTGAAGCAGTGATATGTTAACTCATAGACCATTTATTTTTTTTCCAGCCAGGGCTTGTCCTATGGTCCTTTATAATCACATATACTCAAGCCAGATGCAGATGCCTTCTGGCACAAATTGAAGGGCAAGTGCAAAAGGAGACTTGACCTTCGGCCCATGGCCTGCAGCCTGTGGCCCTCAGGATCAAACTAGACATGAGGGTGTCCATGTAGCTGAGCCATCAAACTAGACATGAGCCGGTGTCCAATTTGCCTTTTCTAGGCAAACTTATTGAGAGGGCGGTGGCATCACAGCTACAGGGCTACCTGGATGAAGCTTCCATCCTTGATCCCTTCCAGTCCGGCTTTCGCCCGGGTCACGGGACAGAGACAGTACTGGTCGCTCTGACTGATAACCTCCGTAGGCATCTGGATCGTGGCGGCGTGGTGGCACTGGTGTTGTTGGACCTGTCGGCGGCGTTCGACATGGTTGACCACCAGTTGTTGGCCCGCCGCCTTGCCGACGTGGGGATTCAGGGGCTTGCCCTTCAATGGCTTATCTCCTTTCTCCGAGGTCGGGGACAGAGGGTGGCAATAGGGGGGCAGCGGTCCCAGAGGTGCTCCCTTGAATGTGGAGTGCCTCAGGGGGCGGTGCTGTCCCCAATGTTATTTAACATCTATATGCGCCCCCTCGCCCAGATTGCCCGGAGGTGTGGGCTTGGGTGTCATCAATATGCTGATGACACCCAGCTCTATCTGATGTTGGACGGTCGGACTCTAGTCCTGAAGACCTTTCACGGGCACTGCAAGCTGTGGCTGGATGGCTCAGACTGAGTCGGTTGAAACTAAACCCGGCAAAGACGGAGGTCCTGGGCCTGGGTCGGATCAGCCGGGAGTTGGGACACCCTCTCCCGACCTTTGGCGGGACACCATTGGTGCCTGCGCGGGAGGTTAGGAGTTTGGGTGTGCTCCTGGACTCCTCTTTGTCGATGGAGGCCCAGGTAGCTGCCACTGCCAAGTCAGCCTTTTACCATCTACGGCTGGCCAGGCAGTTGGCTCCCTATCTCAGCCGGGAAGACCTAGCCACTGTGATCCATGCGACGGTCACCTCAAGGCTGGACTACTGTAACGCTCTCTACTTGGGGCTGCCTTTGTCGCAAATCCGGAAGCTGCAGCTAGTGCAGAATGCTGCGGCGAGGTTGTTGATGGGTTTCTCCAGGTGAGACCACATCCGACCGGTGCTGCATGCGCTGCACTGGCTGCCTATAGCATACCGGATTCGTTTCAAAGTGCTGGTGCTTACCTTTAAAGCCCTGAATGGCCAGGGTCTGGCCTACCTAAGGGACCGCCTCTCCCCGTACATTCCCCCAAGAGCACTGAGATCGGGGAACTTCCATCGCCTGGAGGTTCCAGGCCCCCGGGAAGTGAAATTGACCCAGACCAGAACTAGGGCGTTTTCGGTGGCGGCTCCCACCTGGTGGAACGAGCTCCCGGAAGAGACTCGGGCCCTGCGGGACCTAGTGCAGTTCCGCAGGGCCTGTAAGACGGAGCTCTTCCGCCAGGCCTTTGAGGGGGAGCCGCCGCCGCCACTGTTCCATCAATGATATTCTAACTACCTACCCCATGTTGGGGTAGCTGCCGCCCAATAAAGCTGGAAAACACTCTTCCTGGAGCTCCTGCTACGAAGAACTTGGCCGCCAGTGTGGGACGTCGTCCATCTTGGACTTTATGTAAATAATTTTAGCACCAAATTTTATATCAGATATATTGTTTTATTATGCTGCTGTTGTATTTATATTTTAACCTTTGTAAGCCGCCCCGAGCTGAATTAATGGATGGGGCGGGATATAAATCTCAAAAATAAATAAATAAATAAATTAAAAAACATACCCACCTTTTAAGGTGGTTTAAAAATGTCACAAGGACCTGTAATTGGGCCTGCAGTGCAACAGACAGAAGTGATCATGTTCTACTTGTGCCTTTTCAAGTGCCGAAACAGCCATGGTGCGTGTGTGTGGTAATTTCTGGCACTTGCAAAGGCATTGGGGGAGGGGGGGACGTGAGCACTTTAGCCCACCACACTGCAGTCTGCATTCATGGGAGGCACCTGTGGATGCTGTCACATCTAGTTTGGCCCTGACTGAGCTGGCCCGGAGGATCCTGGACCAATCCAGGAATTGGAGTTGTATCTTGTATTTTTGTTTGTTTGTCTATATTATATATAATTTTTGTTTATTTGTCAGCCACTTTAGGTCATGTGTGGTAAGCAAAGCATGATATAAATATTTAAACAAAATAAATACTATTGATTTGACTTTCACCCTGACTCCAGCTAGCTTGATGTCCCTCTTTTCCATGGTTGTAAGATGCCCTTTACATGTTACTGCCTTGCCACGAGAGCCACTTTTCCATGGACACATGATCCCACTCTATAGCTGTCATGACTAAATGCCTGAAACGGAGTGAACAGAGCGAAGCTCACAGGTCTTTCTTATGGAACTGGGCCAGCTCTGAGGGAAAAACAGGATTTTGTGAGAGGTAACTTCACAGTTTTTACTGGACACATGGTATAAATGGTTGGTTGTTACAGAAAACTGCATAAAGTGTGAAATCAGTAAAATGTTGTTTGCACTTAGACATTGTCTAAAACTTTATATAGCCATCCGTTATTCATTTGTGATTATGCTGAGAGAGCTGTGCTTCTTAGGTTGTTGTTGAGGGTTAGGGTTGTTAAGGTGGTCGCTGTTGGCTTCTTAGAAGTGGTTGAAAACACTGTTAAATTTGAAAAAAAATAAGTCTCTAGGTCCTCAGATGAAAATACATAATTATTTCAGAACATTTCAACTTCTGTAAGGGACAACAATTGAAAATGTTGCGTTGGATACTGTGGATGTGTTCTGCCAGTGATGATGACATTTTCACCCAAAACAATGAACATTCCCTGAGGCAAGAGAGCTTCCTGCTAGTGAAAGACCTCGTGCATCAGGGAAAGACTCCTTCCACTGAAGGAAAGCACTGACATTAGCTGAACAGATCCAAGGGATCCAACCTAGTGAGTGTTCCAGAAATAAGAGTTTGTATCGTATTCCCTGTTTCTAATGATAGAATAGCACTTCTACCAGCAGAGCAAGGAAGAGTGGATACTAGTCTCTTCATTGTAATTAGCCTTTGCCAAGCTTTGTCTTTAGCGCTAAATGCTTCAGTCTTTTGTAAGTATCCATCCCCCCCCCCCATTCTGATTTTTAAAACTCATGTCTTTTGGAATATTTTAGTTACAAAATTATTGCTCAGATTTAACTCTGGTTTCCCCTCCAGAAGCCCATTATCATAATATCCCATCCCGCTCTTTCACTAAGGCCATGTAGCCCTTTATTTCACCCTCACAAATCATCTGAATTAGATAAAGTGACTGGTCAGTGAGCTTTATGTGGGGATTTAAACCTGAGTCTTCCCAGTTCAAGTCTGCCACTTGTATTACGACCTCTCACAGACATTACTATTAAGAAGTATACAGATTTGTGTAGGCATTTTATTTAGGCCTCACATAAATACAGAGACAAAAATTGGGTAGGAGAGAAGACTTTAAAGACCAGTTATATGTGTAGTGGAGTTCAAATCTCCCTCCCCGGGGGAGGAGAATTTTCAAAGGCAGGAGCTTCTTTGATTACCAGTCCTTTCATCTTTTGAAGTTCAATATGTGCTTGCAAAAAAGAAATGACTTATAACAAACTGTTTAAATGGATCTTATTTTAAACCAATTGGCAAGTAAAACCAGGAAGGGTGCCATTTGCCCACCTGGTCAATGTCTAAAGGCTGCACAGACACATCTTTAAAAAAACCCTGCTGGGATGCTTAGGTATGTGAGCCTAATTTTC